ATCAGGATCCCCTGGTTATCGAGAAGCTTTACGCGATCAAGGAAGCAGTTGCAGATAGAGTGGAGATGCATAGAAATATCGGAGAGCAAAGAAGCCAATGGAACAGTATGCTTTTAACATCCATTAATGGGATTACCCTAGCAGCTGCTACAATGGCTGGCATTGCAGCTACCAGTAGTGCAGGTGATTCTGTTTTGGGACTGAAAATGTCATCTACTATGATGTATTTGGCTGCTACTGGCATGTTAACGATCATCAACACAATTCAACCATCCCAGCTTGCTGAAGAACAACGCAACGCAACAAGGCTTTTCCAAGATCTATATAATCAGATCGAAACAACTTTATCAATCGGTCACCCTTCGGGGATTGATGTGAAAGAAGCTATGGACAGAGTATTGGCTCTTGACAAGGCTTATCCATTACCACTTCTTGGAGTAATGCTAGAGAAATTTCCATCTTCTGTGGAACCTGCTGTTTGGTGGCCTCAACAACGTCGAAAACAGAAAAGAAGTGTCAACAATAACAATTGGGATAGTAAACTAGAGGAGGAAATGAAGGAAATAATGGGAGTGTTAGGCAGAAAAGACCAAGAAGAATATATTAGGCTAGGGAAAAAGGCATTGAAATTGAACAAGTTTTTAGCCATGTCTGGTCCATTGCTTACAGGCGTAGCAGCAATTGGGTCAATGTTTATTGAATCTGATTTGGCTTGTCAGGGATGTAATTGGGGCGCTATGTTAGGGATTGTTGGTGGAGCATTGGCGAGTGTAGTTAACACAGTTGAACATGGTGGACAAGTTGGAATGGTATTTGAGATGTATAGAAGCAACGCTGGTTTTTTCGAGTACATGAAAGAATCCATTGAATCAAACTTGATGGAAACAGAAACGGAGAGAAGAGAAAACGGTGAAGTTTTTGAAATGAAGGTGGCCTTGAAGTTAGGAAGGAGTTTATCAGATCTGAGAAATCTTAATGAAGAGTTTGCAAGCAGACTTTTTTAAGGTTTCAAGTAACTGTTTATTGTTCTAGGAGTTAGCTAACTCATTCTTTGCATTCAATTGTATAATTATGAAATGACTTTTTTTATTCATTTTATCTTTATTTATTTGAATGAATCTTCTCTTTAAGCTTATTAACTGCTTTTCTGAATTAGTGACGTATGCAACCAAAAAAAAAACAATTTAAAGAACTAATTACCATAAGATATATATAACGCTAAAAGATTAATGCTTCATGCATGACTTGTTTCTAAAATATATATAGTTTGATTGGCCTTTCGATATAGTAAATCAATGTATGAAAATCAACATAATATATATTATTAAATAATAATAATTTAATGCACTTGGTGTTTTAAGGAGAATTGGTATTGATATTAAATCCAACATAGTTAATACGTATAATATTTGGTTAGCTTTTTCCCTTTTTCGAGCTTCCTTCTTATGTATATAATATGGTGAGAAAATTTATGATCTACGTAAAATAGAATAGAAATAAGTGCATTAAATAATAGTACCTCGATAAAAATATTAGAATGATAAAAATTAACTCTCTTAATAATGAACAAACATATTTTTTACTAAAAGCAAACAAATATTTGAATTATACATTTGAAAAAATCATCTCGACTAAAATTTTATCTTAAATAATTACTTTTTAAATTCTTTGGTGTTTTCGCATAAAAAAAAATCCACGTTACAATTTTTATGTCAGGAGAATTTATTTATTCCCTTAAAGCATCGCAGATAATCTAAAATATACAGTGGCCACATGCTTTCTTTTTCTGCCGATAACGTAGAAAGTAACAGATTATTAACGACATATCTTGTGAAGTAATTATCTGAATTCTGAAGGGCTATTTGAGGAAAAACACACAAACAGTTACTCTCTCTGTCACATTCGGAACATAGAAATCAAAACAATTAATTTTGACAATGAATTCAGGTATTGAATTTTAAAATATTTTAGAGTAAAATTTCCATAATTAAAAATCATATATAAAAAATATTACAAGACGACAAAATTATAATTCGAAAAAATTGTGTGACCCTCTAAATAATAACGCCTTCACATAAAAATATATTGTATGTATCATAGTTTTTATTTCGTAATCATAAGTTTATATGCATCCTTTAATTTTTTTTTCTTTTTCTTTTTTTTTTGTGTATCATGTATTACTAAATTGCATTGACCAATTTGAAATATGATATGGGTTGGTCCAAAAAAAAAAATTGCATGTCGATTGTCGACAATTCAGATCACATGAACATGATATATCCATAGCCTATAAGCATATAAAAGATGCTGAGTCAAAAAATTGTGTAAATTTCAGTGCTTCAAAAATGTGGTCGACTTTTAATGCTATTACGTATTATAAAGAATAAAGTCACTGTTTGTTTATGCTAACTGCTAAGGTCGTCCGTCCCGTTATGGGATGGGCTACGGGTATGTCCTCTATTATCATATTAAAAATAATCTTTAACGATAATTAATTATTAAAATAATTTAATAATTATTAAATATATTTTTTAAAGACAAGTAACATTCTTTATAAATATATCTTATTTCACTAACTTCTCGGTCCACCTATTCCGTTAAGAAATCATGTTGTTCCGTGCCAATTGAATTAGAAAAAAAGCATTTTTATATGCTTGAAATTGAATGTTTTTTTTCTTACTATTATTATTTTTATTTTATATTTTTGGAGTCTGTAATAAGTAACATTGATGTTCATAAACCATAATATGTCAAGGTTATTTTAAAATTTGTGTTCATTTACTAAATTTTTGTATTCTTATATCACCTACTGCACTATCATCCTTTTACAATTTTTTAATGCTTAAATTTTTAAATCAATAATAATAATTAAGAAATCTCACTCAAGGCCCAGCTCCGTCCTGTCTCGTTAGTTTAGTGGATGGGACGGGTCGAGGGGTTCATCCGCTAAAATCGTCCCTTTCCGACCCCCACTAGACGGCCTTAGTTTATACATCATGCATGAAAAATACAAGTTGGGCAGAAAGTATAGTTGATTAGGTTGGTGGTTTGTAAATAGAGACACCATAAAAGTTTTCCTATAAATGTTGAAAGTCAATATAAGGGACTGTGTTTAGCAGTCAAAACAATAAAACATAACAAATAAACAAAAGGGTGCTCGTGAGATCCAAAAGTAACGGAACCCAAATAAGAAAGAGTCTTGTCATATACCCATTCAATTCAAACTTTGAATAGCTTCACTAGTCTATTTTTCTCAGTCAAATCTTGTATATTTCAATGTCAACTGTACCTATATATATATATATGTCCCAAAATCTCTTTCTTTTTCATAATCACAACTAAATCCATTTTTTCTTTACCATAATCTCTCTAGTCTCTACTACACAAAAATCTTTTCCATCATAAATCAGTAAATTACAAAAGATGACAATCCTCCAATCTTCAAGTTTTTTAAATTTTGTTCCCTCAACATCATACAATTACTGTTGTAAAAGAGGATTGATAAGAGCTACTATTAATATTCCAAGAATTAAAACAGGCAAAATCTCTCTTCCGAATCTTCAATCAGTGCATGAACAAGAGTATTCAACCATAGTAAACAACGATAACCTAGTCGATATACAACTTAGCCCAGCTACAACAAGAACCCATATGCTTAATGGTCCTGATCCCCTGGTTATTGAGAAGCTTTACGCGATCAAGGAGGCAGTTGCGGATAGAGTGGAGATGCATAGAAATATAGGGGAGCAAAGAAGTCAGTGGAATAGTATGCTTTTAACATCTATTAATGGGATAACTCTAGCAGCTGCTACAATGGTTGGAATTGCAGCTAGTAGTAGTGGTGATTCTGTTTTGGGACTAAAAATGTCTTCCACTTTAATGTATTTAGCTGCTACTGGAATGTTGACGATCATCAACACGATTCAACCATCCCAGCTTGCTGAAGAACAAAGAAAGGCAACAAGGCTTTTCCAAGATCTATATAACCAAATCGAAACAACTTTATCAATTGGTCACCCTTCGGGTATTGATGTGAAAGAAGCTATGGACAGAGTATTGGCTCTTGACAAGGCTTATCCATTACCTCTTCTTGGCGTAATGCTAGAGAAATTTCCGTCTTCTGTTGAACCTGCTGTTTGGTGGCCTCAACAACGTCGAAGACAGACAAAGAGTGTCAACAACGACAACTGGAACGGATGGAATAGTAAACAGGAGGAGGAAATGAGAGAAGTAATGGGCGTACTAGGCAGAAAAGACCAAGAAGAATACATTAGGCTGGGGGAAAAGGCGTTGAAATTGAACAAGTTTTTAGCCATGTCCGGTCCTTTGCTCACAGGCGTAGCAGCAATTGGCTCTGCATTCGCAAGTCATTCTCCTCATGGATCATGGGCAGCTATGCTTGGAATTGTTGGTGGTGCATTGGCAAGTGTTGTTAACACAGTAGAGCATGGTGGACAAGTTGGAATGGTATTCGAGATGTACAGGAGCAACGCTGGTTTCTTCCAGTACATAAAAGAATCCATCGAATCAAACTTGAGAGAAACAGAAACGGAGAGAAGAGAAAATGGTGAATTGTTTGAATTGAAGGTGGCTTTGAAGTTAGGCAGGAGCTTATCAGGACTGAGAAATCTTGCTGCTGTTGCTTCGTTGAAGGAAGAACATTTAGATGAGTTTGCAAGCAAGCTTTTCTAATGTTGTACATATTTTTGTATTACTGCTAGTTTGTAGAACACATTCTTTAATTTTTTTTTGAATATATATTCTTTAACTAAGTTAATTTGTTTAAAACAGTACTTTCTATGACCATATTTTTCGGATAATTACTTATTGAAATTTCTTACCAAATCCTATCTGTCACAATCCAAATTCATGAGATTGTGACTGGCCATCAGCAAGCATCAACCTAGCTAAGCAGTCGATGTTCAGATTGATAAAAAACTAGTACAAAACCAATAGTTCTAGCTAGTAATTAGCTTGATTTTTTCGACAAATGTCGAGGATTTGAGAATCAAATTAGGATCTATTTAATTAACCTAGGGTAAGGTCAAGAGAGATATTATTATTATTCACATCTTCTAATCCGGCAGATGGTTGTGCGAACATAGTTATGCTGCCAGAGTCTTCGGCTTCTTCTTCAGTATCAATAATTGAAAAATGCTTATTTGACAAACTGCTACCATATTGATCGCCTACACTCCCATCCTGCCATAATTAAACAAAATTAGTTTAAGTAATTAATCTCACTAATCTATTTGCTCTCAACTAATTGGATAATTTTAATTACTTGAACAGTAGTGCAGCCATTGAAGAAATCCCTGAACATGTTGCAAGCTGGGTCCAATCGTCCTTCTAATCCCATCATCTTCTTTGGCATGGGTCTCCTAGGAGGGGTGAAAATGTATTTTCACATTCAGAATATAAATATATAAGTTAAACTTAGGTGTGAATAGGAAATGAAACGGACCACGGAGCTGGAGGAATAAAAGCAGGCGTAGAGGCAATATGGTCCGAGTAGGTGCTAGTTATGGTCGAATTAGGATGGCCATTGTAGTAATGATGAAGAAAGTTTCCATGGGGATAATGCACTTGATCTGGACCATCCATTTTATTGCTCTTGCTCCCATTTGCAGCCTCTGCTACTGCTGTAACCAAAAAAAATGAAATTGTGATAAACTTAATTAACGTTGAACGAATAATTTCAAGTTGGTATTTGAATATTTATTTATTGAATCCAGATTCTATTATACTTGTACAAAGAGTCCACCATCACACATGGCAAATAAGATCTTTCTTCTTTACCCCAATAGTCGGTCTGATTTTATGGACCCATTAGTAGGATTCTAATGCACATGAAATTCTGACTAATCTATCAGAGAAAAAAAGAATGAATCTTATGTATCATCTTTTTGGAGATTTTTCTCGGAAACAAATGATTCATCATCTACTTTTTCTTATGTTCCATAAATAGACAGGACATTGAAGAATAACCAAAAAAAACATTTTGAAAATCGGCTAGATTCTATCTGTTTTTACTTCGGTTTGAAAAAGGAACGGAACCTAAGAAATTGATCTTTAATCTTTCTTTGATTAATCAATTTGTGATATTCCGAATCTTCATGATTACTAATGAAATCCAAATAATCTCTTGATATACGGAAAAATTGAATTATATATATACACAAAATAAAAAGAATGAAATTGAGGTAAATTATCAATTTTGGCGTTGCTAGTAGCCATAGACTAGTAGTTCTAATTAGAACGTCCTTTTCACTTTTTAAGTAACCAAAAGGCGGTATAGTAAGGAACATATATGCAGTATTCAGAAAAATCACAAAGGGTCAAATGAAACATAAAAAGATTCCTCAAATAGAACTTCAATATCTTTTCTTGATTTCATCACTATTCATTCATTTATTAACTATTTTCTCAACAAAAATGTATTAATTAAGTAATAAACTTTCAATTTGACTATCATCATCCTTTTAGATAATAAAATCAAAGTTTCAAGCTCCTTTTATAACTATAAAGAATTTTAAAATCCCCAAATAGAAAGAAGTAGTACACGCAAAAGCACAAAACGTAGAAAGGATACCTTGCATCAACTGTTCGTGTTTCATACTTCTGTACATCTGTTCATATCATAAAAAAAACACATAAAACGGTTGGAAAAGAAAAAGAATGAAAGGCTTAATTATGTGTTAAATAATAATTACCTGAAGGTGACTCTTAACGTGAGATATAGTGAGGCCCTTCACATCCATCAACTGTAGCACCATCTTTGGTGTTGCTCCTAATTATATATGTACCACAACAAAATAAATAAATAAATAGCAAGTCATCATGACATATAAAGAGAGAGAGAGAGTTAGGCTTACGATCTTCTCCACCAAGACGCTCAACAGCATGCACAAAGCAGCGATGAAGATCATGTGTCCATCTGAGCCTCGGCATTTTCGATCTAACATATGGTCTTACACCTGATTTGTTATTGTTAGTATTTTCTAACATAATTGGCTGCTTCATGGATAAATTAGAAGGAGAATTATCTGAGAATGGATGCAGCTCGTTCATCATGTGGTTGGGAAGAAGTATAGGTACTTATGGGTGTGTGTGTGTGTGTGTGATACAATAAAAAGAGAATATTTATTAGGGAGTCTGTTGTCATGTTTTGTCTATTTCTACAGGCTTTTTAACTTAACAACAAGGGATATATTCTTATATAAAATTGAGTTCTTGAAAGAGTTTCATTTTTAAGTCTCTTGAATTTTGATTATGAAGCTGAAAATTTTCGTGTCATGTTCAACCTTGCACTCATAATTACATGAAAATAGGGAAGGACTTTAATGAATAAGAACAAAAATAAGTCCCCAGAAAAGATTCTAATAGCTTTACTTTACACGACATCTTTGTTTCAAGTCGGACTCAAAACATTCTTGTGTGCCCAGGCCACTTATGAGATAGATAAATAGATAGATATCCACCACCCAAAACACACCTATTGACTGATCTTAACCTTAAAATACCCCTAAAAATGGCCTAAACAGATCATAAATGGTGTTTGAACATAGAAATGATCGTCATTGTTAAGATTAGCTTAAAGACAAGTTAGTGTGTGAAAAGTGAAAACCTCTTTCGGCATTTGGTGAAGTCAGTTACGAATAATTACTCACTCCGTTTAACAATAGTTGTCCATTATTAATTTGGCATATCCCTTAAAAAATGATAAATAATAGTGTAATTTTACTATATCACCCTTTGTAAATACTTTCTCTATCCCTATTTAGTTGTCCACTTTAAAAACAACACACATATATTAAGATAACGATTATTAACATAGTAAAATTACAATTTTACCCTTATTAATTATGGTTTCGAAAAAGATAAAATTAAAATTTAGAAATTTTCAAGAAGTTTAAATGAGAGTATAATAGGAATATTTACTTTCTTGATTTGTCAAAATGGACAAGTAAATAGAGACAGCTAAAACAGAAAATATGGACAAGTAAATAAGAATAGGGAGTAATAAATACAATGTCTTGAAAAATGTAAGAAGAAAATAACTATAATTAAAGATAAAAATTAAATGAAAAACTAAGGGGTTGTTTGTTGTGAGGGATAAAAATAAATTGAGGTAGGATAAGAAAATAGTGATGGAATAAAGTTTTTGTATCTTGTTTGATTGTCGTGTTTGGGATAATTTATCTCACCATTAATTATGTCATAGTGATGGGATAAGTTATCACATATACTTGGTGAGCTAAGTAATTCCAGGATAACTAATCTTGGGATAACTTGTTCCCAATTAAACGACTCCAACCGTAAAATTATTTATTGATTTCATAATGTGGACAAATATTATTGGACATTTCAAAATAGTATAGTTGACAACTACATATAATGGACAACTATTGTTGGACGAGAATAATTAAGACTTCAAGCGTGCACTTGATGAGTTATACAGTGTATTATTTCTCAAAGCTTGATATACTCATCCTTGTATTATTTTTAAAATTTGACTAATACACTACGATAAAAATAATTTTTAGCGGCATTAAATATTGATACTAATAATGAGTGTTAAAGTCTTTATCGGTATTAATTAAGTGTTATTAGAATCAATGTCGCTAAAGATTTTAGGGACATATACAAAGAGTAACAATTACCGCTAAAAATACATATTTAACGATAATTAAAAATTAAATACCGTTAAAAATCATTTTTATGGTAGTGATACTTACCAAAAATACTTTATTCACGAACATTGGTAAGGAATTCACTAAAGCTTGAGGTGTATCATACACTCTTCTTTAAGGATATTTTTTTCCAACAATTATTGTTTTTTAAGAATTAAAAGAAAAATGCACAATATTTAAAAGAAATAATCAATTTACTTTTAATAATTAAAGGATTAACATAGTAAATTATACTCTCTTCGTTTCAATTTACTTGACACTCTTCGAATTTCGATATTTTAACAGGTTTATCTTTGACCGTAAGTTTTCATAGATCTTTTAAACATATTGAATTGTCAATTATTGTGACTTATAGTACTTTTTACGTAGTTTACAAATTTATAATTTCATTTAAAAAATAAAGATTTCATGCATAAATTTTCAAATATATTTAAACTATTAAACTCTAAAAAATAAAAATACCACATAAACTGAAACAGAAAAAGTACTTTCTATATATTTATTAAATATTTTTATAATCCAAATTGAAAGAGTCATATATAACAACACTTGAATGAAATTGAGAAGTAATATATAGCTTAGCTTATTTGACCTTTCTTTGGTGTTGCCAAAGCTAGATATAATAAAGTTTTACTTCATTTCTTAAACTCTATGTCCGATCAAAATGTGTTACGTAAATCTATTATCCGAAGAAGAATGATGAGTGGTGAAGTGAGACCAAAGAAGGAAAAAGATGAGCGTGACATAGGCAAATGTATGTCCTCAAGGAAACATACCAAATTCCCCCTGCCCCACTTAATTCACCGTTTCCTCTTCCTGGAAACCGTAACTCCTTCTCATCCCTAAAGTTGCTTTAATATTTCTTTTTTCTTTCTTTTTCGAGGGGCGAAGGGCTCTAAACGTCACCCCTGACTAGATGGAGCCAATGAAACAGTGACGCGCCCGATGACACGTCAAAAAGTTTGTTGACACGTGGCTCACTCGAGATAATTCGTATGAATTAATAAAGATATCGATCATTAAATGAAATCTCAACATACCCATGATAATTTTAGGCTAGAATTTTCGCAGGCTTTCGTAAGATAATTAATATTTAGTGGGGCGGGTGCAGAAATTCTAAGCACCTTACGTCGGAATTGGTTGATGGGTGGAATTTAGGAGAAATCCTCTGCGGAATTCAGTCACGGCCAAAAAAAAAATAGTACGTAAGTGGACAAAAACTGGGGATGAAAACGGGAACGGAGTGACTTGAAAAAAATGACAGGAATATTCTCTGGCAGGAGATAATAATATATGGATTGGACAAGTATTTTGTAAGCATGAATGATGGACAAAGAAAATTTGAGAATTTTCTTTCTCTAGCTCTGATCATTCATTCAGTGACTTATGATTATTATAATGGTTGAAAATTACAGTTCAATTCCCAACGAAAATAAAAAAAAATTAGGTGATTAAGTAATTTCTTATTTGTCTAAGTTTGATTTGATTAATACAGTATAATCACATCGATGAAATAACTAATATTAGTTGGTAGAATATTCAAGATAGTATATTCTCTTCATTCTTATTTAGTTGTTCATTTTAGAAATGATATATATATAAAAAAATTATTAATGATGTAGTGAGTTTATTATTTCACCTCTGTTAATTATCAAGTGAATAAAAAAATTTACATTTTTAAAGTAATAATAATAAATAAAAAATTATTCTTTCTTTATTTGTCAAAATGAACAAGTAATTAAAGACAACTATATAAAATAAATTAAACAAATAATTAGGAACTAAGGAAATACATTTTTAAGAAATGAGTTTTAACGTGTGGGTTACTTGTGATCAAATTATCATGTTTGATAATTATATTTGATGTTTACTATCCGAACAACTCGTGTTACTTAATATAGTTTTGAATGGTCAGAAACAAGACAAAGGAAGGAGTGAACGTCTGACTGGATGGAAAGTGTGAACACAAAAGCATTGTGAAAAGTGTGAACAGAAAATCATATTTTAAAAGAAAGAATGCAGAGAATGAGAAAACCCAACTTACTTAATTTCAGGCGAGAGAATGTAGCCAATGTTAATTGTTGTAACATTCATCCCAGTTGGCAGTAACTGAATATGATGAGTTTCAAATTATAAAGATATTATCGTAAAAAAAATATTTATTAGTAATAATTTTTTTTTTACTTGATCACTTTTAGTTCATTTATAATATAACTTTAATACATATAATACAAGTTTTAAGGATAGATATATTTATCACACATTTTATTATATTTATAATATAATGTGTCAAATTTTTACCAAACTAATATAATATATTTCTAAAAACAATTATAATTCATATACATTGCATACATAATTCACTTTTAATCGATTGCAGATTTAACATAGTATTACTATAAGTGGTGATAAATAAAAAGTACCACTAAAATTAGTAATTATTTATTATAATATATCAATTCATATGATTTTTCTTTTTCCCAACACATAAAAGTTGAGATTGTTAAGTTAGCATGGACAAATATAATCTCTTTTTCTAAAAGTAAAAAAAAACAGCAAGTCACATATACAGTCTCGGGATAAAATTTTCATTTTCCCCTTAGGAAATGCTTAAAGTTGTAAGCAGATTGAAACCAGAAAAATGGGTTTAACTTCTATGATTCATTGATTTGCCAAATACATTAATCAGTTCATGGCACGTTAGCTAGTTAATGACATGTCAAATATTAGAGTTGGTTAAATAATACTTCAACATATATCACCTTCTTTTTTCTTTTTCATTTTATCACATATTAGTAATAAAATAAAATTTGAGTAACCAACAAAAGTAAAAATATCACGTAGTTATTTGCTCGAATCGGATTAAAATTGATCAGATTTGTTCTCTCTCGTCGTCGTGCTCATGCACTCAACGCTCGCCAACTGCTGATACACCATCGATTCTCTCCGATCTGAAAAAAAAAATTAATCAAAATCAAAATCCAGGAGAATGATCCAAGTGCTGTTTACTGTGATATTCGCCGAAGTGGCGGTAATCCTGCTCCTCATATTCAAGACGCCATTGAGAAAACTTATAATAATGGGCCTGGACCGTGTAAAGAGAGGCCGGGGCCCAATCGTCGTGAAAACTACCGGCGGCACCATCTTCGTCGTCATGCTGTCCTCCATCTACAGTGTGGTGTCTATCCACAAGCGGTGGATCGATGAAGATGGCAATGTTACTCCAACTGATCAGATTCTTATGGCTCAACATCTTCTAGAAGCTTCTCTCATGGGTAATAACATCTTCATTTCCTCCCTACGTATCTCTTGTATGACAAATTTTACCTGTATTAACAATGATGCAGTGAAATTCGGAGTCCGCTAACTTTAAATTCTGATTCAGTTTCTGCGGATTTGAGTGATTGATTAATACATATACCCGATCATATAATTTGAGAAACGATCTCTACTTGTGTTTTTTTCTTGCGAAACATTGTTTTGATCTCATGGCTTTCGCGCAACCCTCCAAACAATAAGCTTTAGATGTACTTGAATGGAATTCATATCTATACCAAGTTTCAATAGCAATTGTTTGTTTGATTTTTTAAAGTTATTCTCTTTTGTAATTTTAAGTGATGCATTTGATCTTTATTGCCATAAACATAAAGGTTTAAAAAGTATGTACAAGTTTTCATTATCAATCATGAAAACTACGTATAAGTTATTTCATGTTTATATGGCAAATTCATCCATAGTAGATACCTATAAAGTTCCCCAACTCTCATATAGAAGACAATTTTTTTGCTCTTTGCAC